AACTTTAATATAAGTTTGTCTTCATTACCCATTCAAGCCGTCTCCAAGCATTATTAGTCTCAAAGTGGGTTCCTCGTCAACGAATTTTTAAAACTTAGTTTCATAGTGAAATATATACATAGTTTCTAAATATACATTTGTACTTACAACTGTTAATAACATTTTCAAGTATTTAAATTTTTCTTACTATATTTTCAAGTTTCTTTAAAAACTGAGTTTCAGTTTTATTTCTTGGTTGACGGCTTTTTAAATATTATGTATTTGTTAACATTAATAGTACATCGAATGTTTTTTTTATTCATACTGACAATATTTTTGTCGCTGGAGTTTCTCAGAGAATTTATGAAGAAAAAATATTGCGGTGGGTGTAGTATCTGTTTATATACACCTTTCATATTACATAAAACAAAATCGCTAATTAAAATTATCTGAAGCTTTAGTGGGTGACAGTCCTTATCATTGAATTAGTTGGGTTTGTGAGATTCTAGAGAAATGATGTAATGTAAAACATTATTATGCTAGTTTTAGTATAAACTTGGGAAGCTAAGGAGGACTTTATACAGCTCAGAGATTTGAAAATTTAAAATATCATTTCTAAATATTGATGTCGCTAAGGTTTATCTTTATATGAGTAATGCAAACCTTTAGATAATGGAGACACCATGTGTAGGCTCACACAAGCGCCCCCTGCACTGTTTCCAAAAATTGTAACATTATCCGGATTCCCACCAAATGATTGGATGTTCTCCTGAACCCACTTCAGAGCTAAGATTTGATCTAACATTCCATAGTTTCCAGGAGAATAACGGTCTTTTGTGCTAAGAAACCCTGTTGATAAAAAAGTGAAATGATGTAGGTTTTTAATCAAAAACCTAAATTGCATATTGTTAACATCTTACAACATTATATTGTGTTCTGAAAGAAAAAAAATGAGCCTCTGGTTTGCGAACAATGCACGACTGACGCCATATTTTTCATGTATTACAAACGAGACAAATATGGATAATAAAAATGCTTTAACAACACTGTTATTGTTTATAACGCTTGTATGTATTATACAAACTGAACTGACTTTTGAAAATACTGTGTATATAAAAAAAGGGTCCTTACATAAAAGTAAGTTTAGAATTCAAACAATCTGTCACAAACATTACATGTCCCTATAAATAAGCAAGAAGAATACTGTTTTCAGAAACTTTACTCGTCATACTAAACATTTGTCACTGCAAATAATTAAAATAACTATCTTACCTAATGGACCCAAGCGATAGTTCATTGTTACAACCACGACGCCCCCTGCCGACGAAAGCCATTCACCTGGATAAAATCTGCCACCACTTATCTCATAAGAACCCCCATGAATATACACCATAACAGGTATAGTATACGTAGACATGGTTGGGTTTGTCACGCTCTCGAATACAGGCTGAAAAATTAAATATGCATATTAAATCCGGCCGAAAATCTCGATTTATCCATCGGACGATCACAGCGTCCGATAAAATTTGTCTCTTTGGTTGAAAACTAATCAAAACTATGCTGTTATAGACCTTTCATAAATAGACCGGAAATTTTATAAGGTATGGTGATAATTATAAGAACGTCACGAAAATAATTCCGGCAGACCGCGCAGAAAGGAATTGGTTTAAAGAGTTAAAGAAGACAGTTTGGTAAATAAAACAACTTTTCAGCCATCTAATGGTATAACACAGAGGCATATACTTAGGAATTTAATCAGGACCCAAGAAATTTTGAAACGTAAAACGTGAGGACATTGAACTTTTCATTGAATTACTTTGTCTTTTTTTATCGCATTTATTGACAAGTTCTTTTATTTCTACAATTTAGAAGCACTTACTAATTAAAGTCAATTGATGATTTTAATTAAAAGCAATTTATACAAGTTGCACATGGAACTGTCAACACTTCTCTTTATCCACAATTAAAAATAGAAGTACGAGATTTATGTCCCTGTAAAACTGTTTTTCTTTCAACATGATTCACATAGACAAAAAAGCCAACCTGTGTATGAACTGGTGTTAATATCATTTTTCCACAGACAACTACTGTATAAATACATACCTCTGGTACGTAAATATTTAGACTCAAACAATCTTCACTCTGTCGATATTGGTTAGGGGAACGTGCTTCAATTAACTTGATTTGTTTTTTATTACTTATAAGATCTTTTATCTTGAAATGTTTATGTTGAATGCAAAGAGATCCAAACTCCGTAGCGCTTAAGATACCAGACCAAGGTTCTTTCGGAACTGGGGCCTATAATTTTAGTAAAAATGATAAAATTAATATATTGTGCAATCATCGTAATTCATTTAAGCTTATATGTAACCACAATGTTTTAGGTATGTACACAAACAGAGGGGAACAAGAAAGCTAATATGTTTGTGTCATTCAGCATTTAGCATTAATCTTAGTTGCATAGCTGAAACAGCTAAAAATCATAACTTAAGTTTTCGCTTTTAGTTTTAGTTTTACACTGTATTAGTACGATATAATGTGTATCCTTTATCAACCTACCTTGAACCTACGAAGCCCAAAGGGAGGTTCGGCGTAAGGGATGTCTAAAAATGTTACGACTCGTTTGTTGTTAGGAAGATTTAGAACTTTACCCCTAACACGGCCATTCGCTGTTTCCGCCACAGGAAATGTTGTAGAGGTGTTTGCCGCGGAAGGATTAGACTGCAGTACCTCTATGCTCACGCACAATGGAATTACCAAAATAATAGGTAACAGAAGTATTAATTTAACTGATATGCTTAAAGTTATCATTTTGATAGCAAGGTTCGACAATGCCTCGCTACGATAGTTTAACTATTAATTAGTACATTCAAAACATACAAATGATAATCAATAAATAAAGAATGTCGAAACTCATAGTTGGTTTAAATAAGCCAATCAAAACACAGGATCTTAGAAGCTATTCTCTTCGATTATCCAGTTCAAGGACATTCCTTCTATTTGGAGCCAAGCGTTAGCTGTTTAACCAGTACCAAAAACATAGAAAAAGCCGATGTGTTCGAAACCAAAGGTCTCTGTATCGACCGCGTTTTTATGTCACGCGACTAATCGTCACGATGACGTAAAACCGTATCGAACAAATTTTGACTTTGTAATGTCTTACTGCTTAGCCCTGAACGTTATATTATTTTCTCATGACATAATGCAGTACTTGTTTTGGTTGGAACTGCGGATTAAAAACTAGGTTTCGTGTAACTTAATTATATTTACTCCAGTAGATAGCGCTTCGAGATGCTTATATTTCATGATGTGAAGCTTGTCAAGCGAAAAAAATATATGTTAAAAAATGTGTTGTTGTCTCAGTACACCAGATAGTTTAATTCGCAAAATGGAGGTCAATTTTACACCAATAAATTATTTTATTGTTACAGTATAGATGTATGTAATTAAGTGAAATATATATAGTTTGTTCGTTGTAATTAGATTTTATCTAGTTATCATCTGAAAGTACTTTAAATAAAAGCAGCGCCCCATCTAAGACCATGCAAAAATGGCCTAACAACTTTCTACACACACACATATATTACATTTAATAGTACATGTTATTAAACTTTCCTTATTTTAGCTTTAAATATTCTTTGCTAGGAACTCTTACCTTTATTTCCTTAATTTAAGAATTGTGGTAGGCTATATTTTCAAGTTATTTTTATTTAAATGTTAGCTAGAGAGCGTATAACATTAAGATCACATTCATAAAATTATTCTTAGAACACCAAGTTCACGATGACGACGATGTCAAGAGTATACTAATTTCGACATACTAACATCTATGCGTGGGTATATCAATATAAATTCAAGTAATCAGAGAAGCGGTTAAGAAGTTAGTAAAGTATTCAGTGTGTGCAAAGTATTTGTTGATCGAGTAAAGTTATTCAGTAAGAGTTAACGTTTCTTATATATTATTCAGCATTTGTTATCAGTCAAGGAAATTTTTCTGAAACTTTATTAGTGTGTTAGGCTTAAAAGTTAAAGTTTGATTGCGTATTTTTGCCTGAAATTTGCGTCAAAACGAATGTAGCCTATAGGCTATAGTAAACGTTATTGAAGAAATAAATTAATTCGTTATCATAACGTGGGCTGGATTTTATATTACCGTCATTGAATAATTCGAAAGAACCCCCACAATGATAGAACACGTTACGATAGTATTATCTTGGCCCCCCAGTGGCACAGCGGTATGTCTGCGGACTTACAACGCTAGAAACCGGGTTTCGATACCCGTGGTGGGCAGAGCACAGATAGCCCTTTGTGTAGCTTTGTGCTTAACTTCAAAAACAAAAACAAGTATTATCTTGATTTCTACAACATATATATGACTAAATAATTACATTACATAAAAAAATATAAAATGGAATTACGTTGAGAATTCAGGATTTTTGTTATGGCACAAAGCCACATAATGAGTTACCTGCGCTCTGTCCACCATGGATAATTGAACCCAGTATTTTAGCGTTGTAAGGCCTTAAACTTATCACTGACTCATCAAAGGACTGGTTAATACGGACAAAACGTTTTAACAAATGACACTTAGCAGTTTGATCATTTTAAGGTTAAACGAAATTTACAGATACACGATCTCTGCGAAAACTAGTAGTTCGAGAACTTAGGTGTATGAAAGTACAGTGGTAATAATTTCTTACACGCTTAATGAAAGAGGCAAGACATGCTCTTTAAGTCAGAATAAAAAAAATCTCCTCATGATTCTAGCACTTCTGTAGCTGTCGATCATGCGTTGTTCAACACATCCAACAAAGCCTTATTGTCTGTTATTCACTTAAGTTTGTTTGTTTTGAATTTCGCGCAAAGCTACTCGAGGGCTATCTGCGCTAGCCGTCCCTAATTTAGCAGTGTAAGAGTAGAGGGGAGGCAACTAGTTATCACCACCCACCGCCAACTCTTGGGCTACTCTTTTACGAACGAATAGTGGGATTGACCGTCACTTTATAACGCACCCACGGCTGGATGGGCGAGCATGTTTGGTGGGACGGGGATTCGAACCCGCAGATTGCGAGTCGAGCTCCCTAACCAATTCACTTAAGTACAGTTCATTTTATTTTATTTTCAACCCCTTCTTTACATTACAGTAGTCGATCACTGTCTCGTTTTCAGTACTTCTATCGATGAAATAAAGTATTTTACCACAACAAGTCTTGATCCTCTCAACTCAGAAACAGAACGGTCTTTTCGGAGGTTGAAGCGCACCTGGTTTGAGACCGCCAAAACTACATTCACAATACACAAACATTTTCTCTGTAGCTGTTCTATTAGAAAATGAGCAGCGAAATTCAGAAATATCTCTGCTCTGTGTGACAGTGGCTACATAGTCCTCTTTACCAGCGTTTCTTAACCTTTTCAATATCAGGTACAGGTTCTTTGTCTTCCTAAACTGTCGTGGACCACTAAAATTAAAATACAACGAATAACCATCATAACTTACATCTGAATATTCTGCCACTTTTGTGTGTGTGTGTGTGTGAAATTCTACGCACCAGCAAGGTGGTTGTGACGGACTGGCGCTGGTCCGCAGACCAATGGCCTATACACAAGGTAAAGCAGAAAACACTGCAATTATTTCATGAAACAGAAAATGAAGTTGACCACAAATTAAGCAATACTATGATGTTCTATATTAGTAATTAGAAAAGTCAACAGTTATGAAGGTATGAAATATATACTTGTTTGTTTTTGTAGTTATGCACAAAGCTACACAATGGGCTATCTGTACTCTTCTCGCCACGGGTATCGAAATCTGGTTTCTAGCGTTGTAAGTCCGTAGACATACCTCTGGGCCACTGGGGGACGACGAAATATATACTATTGGAGAGTGAGGTTTTCAGCATTTGCATGCTACAGCAATAACGACTTCTAGATATGAATATAATTACTATTATTGTTGTTTTCTTAGTGCAAAGATGCACAATAGGCTATCTACACTCTGTCCACTGCAGGGAAATGAACCACAGATTTTAACATTATACGTCCGTAAACTTACTACTGGCCCATCGGAGAACAATATAGTTACGCTAGATGAAAAACATACAATTAACGTTATATTTTGAATGTTAATCTTGACACAACTAATGCACTACTTTTAAAAATAGTTTAAATTTATCGGGATTCAAACTTACTATCTCTGACTTTAGTTTGTTTGTTTGTAATTAAGCACAAAGCTACACAATGGGCTATCTGTACTCTGCCCACCACGGGTATCGAAACCCGGATTCTAGCGTTGTAAGTCCGTAGACATACTGCTGTGCCACTGGGTGGGGGCTGACTTTAGTTAACTACTCCATTTGGTTAAAGACCCAATGTCCCCCGGTAGGCTAGCGATAGTTTACGGACTTACAACTCTAAAATCTGAGGTTTGATTCCTCGTGGTAGACACAACAGATAGCCCAACATGGCTTTGTTCTAAAACAAACAAACAATAAAGACCCAAAGTGATTATTTCATTAACTGCTGGCCACTTAACAGGATAACAGCCTCTGTACTGACACCACACAAAATGATACGTTTAAAACACAAATGGTTTAAACAAAATAATTTCATCAAAACCAATGTTTAAAAAGCTGCCATGCCAACTGATGTCTTCCTCAGTGTCTGCTGCGTGTTGTGAATCCTCGTGAGCGATTAAAAACGTCAGCGCGCGGTTGTAGCACGTGATATTCTGTTGATGCAGTTGTACTAGTACATTCGTTCGTGTGATTTTGTTTCCTCGGCTGCGCCATGTCTCGTGAAAAATGCGTTGAATATTGTTATTGAATATGGCTTATAACTTTACTATTTTTTCAACTTGGAATGCGATTTCGCGTAACAATGTGGTGTGCTAAGCCTAAGACGTCGATCCGACATTTAATGTTCAGCTTATTTCACCATAATAGATTTCATGACATATTTCACATGTAATTTTACATACACTACTGATTATATTATCAGGTTGGATGAACTAAAATATGGCTTAAAGTTTAGCGGGGTCGATAAACGGTTCTAAAATTAATTTAAATATTTTGGCCTGTTCAAATAATCCTTTAGTACAGGGGATTACTATAGTTGAAGTATATTTAAAAATACCATCTTTATTGTTTTGTTTCATTCAATAAAATAGTCGGGGTACTCACTCTTTCAAGACTTTTATGATATGCTGGTTTTCTTTAACACTGCCCAGTAGTTAGGGCGCTAGACTCCCAATCTAAAGGTCGCGAGTTCAAATCCTCGTCCCACCAAACATGCTCGCCCTTTCAGCCGTGGGGACGTTACAATGTTATGATCAAACCCACTATATTCATTGGAAAAAGAGTATCCCAAGAGTTAATGGTGGGTGGTGATGACTAGCTGCCTTCCCTCTAATCTTTCATTGCTAAATTAGGGACGGCTAGCCCTCGTGTAGCTTTGCGCTAAATAAATAAAAAAATTTCTTTGATATGATTCGATTCATTTGAACAAAGATTTTACAATCTTTTCATCAGCGTTTTAACCATCATATCTGTGTGTGAGGTGGGGAAATTTAAAATCAATGTACATTTTGAAGTTTCCGATACACAATAGTAGTTAAAAGTTCTATTCTCTTGTTTGAAAGAGGCCTCAATATAGAAGCCAAAATGTCGCCCGCTTTTCATTCAACAGCCTTTATCCTACTTTGAATTTAGAGCTTAAATCCATCTCTCTTAATTACTCTCAGTTACCAGCACCAATAAAAAGTTACTACTGATTAAATTAAAAATTTTAAGGGCACTTTCATCAAAATACTCAGTGATTCAATAACGACAATTTTCCTTACCAACCGAACAAAATGTGCTTCGATTCACGCAATTTACCAAGGCTAGGAAGTGTTGCAAGTCTTGCTTGCTTGTTTTGGAATTTCGCGCAAAGCTACACGAGGGCTATCTGCGCTAGCCGT